AGAGGAGTCTCCGAGCCAAAAGAAAAAGCAAGACAACCCGGTTGACCTCTATAAAAACCGTTACTATGCGTCTACTTCAGCTCCAACTCCAGCAAACTTCTATTTTTTTTTCGTCGGTAAGGTTGGTCTGTATAGGTTTAATTTATATAATTTTGTAAATAGTAATATTTTCTATAATTTTATTAATAAAATTATAAAAAATAATATGATTTTTAATTTTTTACTATTTAAACCTACTTTTATACTATAAATAAACTTGTTCTAAGCATAAAAATATAGTATTATTTTATAGTAACAGGTTGCTATAACAACTCTATATGAATAGCCAATCAAAATTAAGCATACAAATATATAATAAATTGCTTACTATTGATTATTTAAAATTAGCTAAAAATTTTATAAATTTTATAATAAAAAATAGGATTAATCTATTTGTAGCTATAGGTTACTATAGCTGTAAGTAAAATTTGATATAACTTAACTATCAAAACAATTAAAATAACCTTTATTTTTGTTAGTTAAAGTTAAGGTGAGTTAAAGATAGTATATAAATAAACAAAAGAGCTTTATAGTAAAATTTTGCAAAGAATTTTTTTTATTAAAGTTTAAAGAATAGTTTCATATACTTAATTTTGAGTTATAAACAATTTTTAACAAAGCAATCATTTGTTTTAAATTTTTTGCTTGTATTACATTATACCTGATCTTAAAATTTGATAGGCTTTTATAGAATATGGTTATAGTAGCCACAGCTACAAATTTATTAACTCTAAAAAATAAATAAAAAATAAAAAATTGTATTAATTTTAAAATATGATTGGCTGCTATATATAAAGACAGGTTTCCATAAAAAATTTGACTAAAAATATATTGTATCAGTATATATTTATTTTATAATTTTAAATTTTAAAAGAAAAGATGCTTAATTTTGTAATTTTGATCAAAAATTTCAAATTTTTCTTTTAAACTTTAAAATTATAAAGTAAACATATATTGTATTTTTATATATAAAACAAGTTTATTTAGAATATAAAGGTAGATTTAATTAGTAAAAATTTGATAATCATATTATTTTTATAATTTTATTAATAAAATTAGAAATACTTTCGTAGCTCTATAGTGCCATGGCACTATGTATATGTATACAAATAATACTATATTACACAATAGCAATAAAATGTATATAATATAGTCATTTGATTAAAATAGCAAATACGAGTTTTTTTTATTGATTTATTGGTGATTTGTAGATTAAAATAGCAAATACGAGTTTCTTTTATTGATTTATTGATGATTTGTATGTAATACATATCACACAATAATCAAAGTAAATAAATAAGGTTCGATTGCAAATATAATTGATCTTTTTCCTTTTGAGAACAAGCAAATACCAAATAAAAACTTTATTGTCCTTATCCTGTAAACTAAAAGACTGTGCATGTGTGAAGATGAAATGACAAAATATTTTTGTCCTACTTGTATATGGTAATGACTTTATTACTTGTGCACAATTATCTAATAAAGGTTCGCTAGTATTTATTCGACAGAGAAAAGAGAAGGTTAAAAGCGTAATAACAAAAGGAAAAACCAAATAAAGTGCAGTAGAAGTTATATCTTCGAATACAGCATTATTTACATGTATCAATATGAGTTGTAATAATAAAGCATTAGAAACTGGAATTGGACATGAATATGGTATTGGGCACGAATATGGTATTAGACATGAATATAGTATTGAATACGAATATGGTATTGGGCACAAATATAGCAGTATGAGTGAATATATTAGTATAAACGAATATGATAGTGTAAACAAATATGGTATAGACAAATATGATAGTATGAACAAACACGATTTTATAAACGAATATAATAGTGTAAACATGAACGAACGTAATAGTGTGAATATGATAGTGTGAACATGAACAAACATAATAGTATAAATCATGGCAATAGAGATGAGCAGTATAATTATGAACCTGAAAAAAACGTTATTGGAGACACAAATGCTAATTGTGAAATACAGAAGATGTTTAATAGTTGGGATGCTGCTATTGAAAAAATCGAGAAATATGCATATTGTAAAAGTATAATGTTATTTACTTTAAACGATTTGATATAAAGCATAAAATAACATGTTAATTCTCTTTTGTATCTCTAATAAAGGATTTGGAACTAGACTTTTTCGAGTAGAGAAATTGAAAAATAGTGATATTTGGCAGTACACAATTGTGTGTGAACACTTTGGTCAACCTCAACAATTGAAAAGTAAGAATCCACTACATAAAAATACATCTAAACGTATAGGGTGTATCTGGCAAATAAATCTTTCTTGCCCAGAAAAAGAAAACCCACATAAGCTCATTTATGTTACAAAGATAACTGACAAGCATGAAAATCATGAACTTAACCTGCCATACTATATCTTTCAAGAATCTCTTAATTTTACTAAACAAATGCTTATTTTATATAAAAAAGATGAATTGTAGTTCTTAACAAATCCGTAAAGCTCTAGAAGAAAATTATCCAGAACATAAAATTTATATGCCTGTATTACGACAAGAAATACAGCATTTTTGTCCAAAGCTACGTAATCAAACCAATGATGCAGCTTGCTTGTATGAAGAATTGCTGAAAAATAAAGATGAAAATCTATGTTGGTATGTGGCAGTTGATTGTAATCCTGTTACTAAGTGTCTTCGCCGGCTATTTTACATGTCACTTGAGCAGATTGAACTTTGGTTGAAATTTAATAATATTGTTCTTAATGATTGCATAGTAGCAACCAATTGTTATAAAATAGCCCTATTAATATTTTTAATTGTTGATAATTATTTACATTCACGCATGGTAGTGCAAACACTTATAGATAACGAAACAATGGAATCTCATAGCTGGATTTTTCAGCATATAAAAAATGTCACACATAATGCTGCTCCACGTGCAATTTTTACTAATGCTAATCCAGCTATTTCTGTAGCAATACATGATGAGTTTCTTATGACTAAAGCACTTCATTGTATGTTTCATATTTCTTAAAATCTTTTTTCAAATCTTAAAAGCTACCTTGGAAGTCAATACAATGAGTTTATTAAAGATTTTTATGAAATACAAAAATCACTATTCGAGGTTATATTTAAGTATAGATGGACACAACTAATTAACAAATATAGTAACAACAAAGTTGTTAATTATTTACAATAAGCTCTTTATTCGACCAAACAAACCTGGACAAAAGCTTTCGTCTTAACTTCATTTATGGCTGGAATGTCCTCAACATCTTGAGTAGAAAGCTATAATACAAAAATAAAGCATTTAATTTTTAATTCCAATACAACACTTTTAAAGCTTGCAGATGCATTGTCAATATGTATACACAAAGAAGACAAAAGAATAGAATATTCTCTTTTTCATGCCTCAGCTCCTAAAATCACTTTATTTTCAACAGCAGAGACAATATTACTAAATGTTTGTCAAGTATTAAAAGCTTATTTAACAGAAGAGACATGAAAAATTCAGAAAGATCAAATAATTTAAGCTTTGCATTATCATACTAATCGTGTTAATAAAAATTAATTAAATAAATATAAACAAGTTAATCTTAACGATTCTAATCTGGTTAATAATAAAAATTTTACCGGTATTATAGCAAAGGCTTTACTTAGTCTTGTTAATACTAGCAGTATTTTAGAAATATGGAATATAAGACATATTACAGAAAAAAATACACGGCACTTTATTATTCTTTTGCAAAATGTAATTCATTTATATTCATACTTTGGCTACTGTAATCATGAATTCATCTGCTGCTATTTTTTTCAAGTCATGTTATGCACGAATATTGCAACTTTCTATATTCAAATGGTATATTCTCGCTGGTATAAAGAGCCACATAGTAATCAATCACATGAATCTTTTATAGTCGCTCCTAAATTTGAAAAAGATTCAATAAACATTCTTCTAATTAATCAGCCCAGCATGAATTTAAACAATCTTAATACGCTAAATAAAGATTATTTAGATATAGTACAGAATAGTAATTAAGAATTTATTGATGAGCGTCGATTATATGGTAAAACATAGGGAAAGACACGAGCAGCTACACTTTTAGCAGTTAGACATTATGATCATAAATTCATTGAAATTTTAGATAAGTATTTAGAGAATCATCAAACAAAAGAATTAGATATAGATACCGCTGATAGTGATGAAGAAAGTTGTAGTGAATCTGATAAGGAAAATATTAATGCTAAAGATTTAGCAAATCCTAATAAATGCAAAGCAAAAGGAAAACCAAAGATATAGATAGAAAACGATATATACTTGAACCACCAAAGCCATCAAAAAGTAAAAAACAGCAATTCCGTTGTGGCATTTGTAATAAGTTGGGTCATAATCAGAGAAGTTGTGAAGAAAAGCAAAAATAATTCATGTATCTTATTGTAATATAGTATTAAGCTAAAAAATAGAATTACTTTGGCTCAATAATATAAGCTTTGTTTATTCTGTCTAATTTGTTTCGTATGTTGTTTTAAACTAGTCTAGTTTAGTTCTAGAAGTAGTAAGTATAATGCTTTTTACATCTGTAAAGCTAAATTACAAGTATTCACCAGAAGAATGAATATAGCTTAATACTTTGCAATTGATTGTTGTTAACAAAGAGATACAAATTGATTTGTTAGTACTAAAAAAGCCAATAGAGAGGTTGAGTTAGTAAAATAGTATTAAGTTTGAATGATGTTAGAATCAGGAAAGTATTAGCATTACCATTTTTCATATTAAGAAGTTATGTACGTACGTACATATATACTATTTTGATTTCTATATCAGATATGTTCGTCCTAGTTTGTATTTTTGCACTGTACTACTTGTTAGTTAAAGTTAGGGTGAGTATTAGTATTAGTTAGAGGTTAGAGTGAGTGTTAGTTAAAGGTTAGAGGTTAGGGTGAGCGTTAGTTAAAGGTTAGAGGTTAGGGTGAGCTTATTTAGAGGTTAGAGGTTAGAGGTTAGAGTGAGCTTATTTAGAGGTTAGAGGTTAGAATGAGCTTATTTAGAGGTTAGAGGTTAGGGTAAGGGTAAGCATTAGTTAGAGATTAGAGGTTAGAGTGAGCTTATTTAAAGGTTAGAGATTAGAGGTTAGGGTGAGCATTAGTTAGAGATTAGAGGTTAGGGTGAGCTTATTTAAAGGTTAGAGGTTAGAGGTTAGGGTGAGGGTTAGTTAGAGGTTAGAGGTTAGGGTAAGCATTAGTTAGAGGGTAGATACAAGAAATTGATAATTGTATGTACGTACGTATTGGTAATATGTTGTATAACATTGTATTATATATTGTAATATTATTTTTTATACTATATGTCACATGAATATATTATTGTTTATTATATAGCACTAAAAAAATATTCCCAATAAAATTATGGAAAATATTAAAATTTACAAAATTATATTAATTAAACTTATCTTTATATTCTAAGTAAATTTGTTTTATGTATAAAATTACATTATATTTACTTTATAATTTTAAAGTTTAAAAGAAAGATGCTTAATTTTAAAATTTTTGATCAAAAATTCAAAATTAAATATTTTTTTTTTAAACTTTAAAATTATAAAATAAATATATATTAATATAATGTAATTTTATATTGTTACAGGTGAAATACGGTGAGTCAGCCGCTTCACAATCCAAAACTTGCGTAACCTATGGTAAGTAACCTTACGAAAGAGGTGTGGTAGATTTGGCTAGAGGGTAATTTAGGCTTCAGTTACTTTGGGTCAGCAACGTTAGATCACGTATGCAACGACTTGTCAGTTTGTAACTTTATGGATCAAAGAGTGTATTTTAGCGCAATAGTATTTTATGTAGTGTTATGAGCAAATGTATTTTAATAAACTTGGGACTTAGTTATTACTGAAGCAAAACGAGACATCTTTTTCTCGGGGGTGATAACGCCTTTATTTATAATAAAATTTTACTAGTACTTAATAAAATCATTATATCTCTTATATCTATTATCTTTATTAAATTGATTATATGGGTTATATCGAATAAAACTACTATATCTATTAAATCGGTTTTATCTATTATCTTCGTTATATTAGTTATCTGGGATATATTTAATTTCTTCGATATATTCAATATATCGCCGGCAACTCCTTTTAGGGTAAGAGATCGTCCTAACCGGGATAATGTGAGTTGGCGCAGCGATTTTTAGGTCACGTTTTTCCGACCTCACAGTATGCAGCAATTAAAGCTACCAGATAATTGAAAAGAGGTCAACGTTGTATTGTCGTGTTTAGCGACTCGGTGTAAACTATATGACAAAATTTTTAAATGATGAATTCATAAGTTTATTAAATAATTTAAAAAGCAGTTTGTTTTGTATACGTTAGACAATAAATAGTTAATATAGTATTATAACAGAAGAATTAACAACTTTCTCTGACACAGAATTCTGATTAACCGTAGTCTCCTTACTATAAAATGAAAAATATTAAGTCCTTTTTGAATTATAATTTTACATAAGATCATGCTTAAATAAAACGTGTATTAAGAATGTATCATTTTCTACAATCCGTAAATTACGTTTGCCAATAGGAAGTTAAAATATCTTGACGTTGAATATACGAGCGTTACTGATAAATGAGTAAGAGAATTAAAAGGCAACAATCTTTTCTACAAATATCAATTTTTTCGCAAATAATTAGTGGATTTCATTCAAGTACATTTGTCATGCCGTAATATTTTTGCTGGTAAGAAAGCATCAAACTTCTAAATCACTTATTAAGAGTTTTATGACACAAAAAAATCTCTATTCTATATTGAAATTTATGATTACGCATACAAATGCTAAGCGTATATTTAATAAAGTTTTTAGTATCAAAATTGTTATTTAAGCTTCTAGTACTTGTAGCGAGATTAGACTGTAACTTTTTATGACATCTCCTCTGTCATTATCAATAAATTTCGATAAGCTTACTATTATATGACAGATTTTTTGGGGGTAATTTCCAAAAATATTGAACTACTGTATATCAGCCAATCAAGTCTATAGCAAAATTATTAGCTGCATATTTTTCTTAACGTTAACGTTAACGAATGGGCTGCGACCTCAGTAATAAATTTTGGGTTTGTTACACTAAAATACAAATAAACATGCAGACAACCAATTATGCATCTTTTGTACCACTTTGACTAAACATAAATATTAAATATCCTCTGTCGCACTCCAAACAGCTAAATTTTCATTTTGTTTTAGGCATGAATTTTTTTCCTTTAAAAAAAATAGATTCTCAACAACTTTATACACTTGGTTACAATTATAAACATGGTATTGGTGTTAAGAAAGACGAAAAGAAGGCTTTTAAATATCACATGAAAGCAGCTGAGTTAGGAAACTCTAGTGCGATGCATTCTATTGGTCTTGATTATTATTATGGAATTGGAGTAAAAGTAAATTACCAGAAATCATTTGAATATTATAAAAGATCGGCTGATTTAGATAATGCTAATGGAATATGTTGGGTTGGACTTTGTTATGAAAATGGGACAGGGATTGATCGAAATTACGATATAGCGTTTGAATACTATAAGAAAGCAGCTAATATGGGTGTTAAAGAAGCAATGAGTAATATTGCAAAATTTTATCGAAACGGGGTCGGTACAAAGAGAGATATTCAGAGTGCAAATTTTTGGTTCACAAAATACAAAAGTCTTTTGAAAATTAATAAACCACCAGATCATATCAATCCTGAACTTAAGAAAATATTAGATGATGAGAGATTTAAATTATCTTGGATTGATTATAGCGAGTTCAGTGATATCGATGAAGAGGGAAAAGGAGGATTTGCAACAGTATATTATGCATGTTGGCTCGATAAAATTAATAATACATGGAGAAATGTTGCATTTAAAGTAATTAATGATTCAAACAAAAATGAGCAAGAATTTATTCATGAATTGAAGAATTACTGTGAAATTGGTTACAAGAATCCTTCGTTCTTGGAGTATCGAGAAATAATAATGGTGATTATATCATTGTTATGGATTATGCGTCAAAAGGGTCATTACGACAAAATCTTGTACAAGTTTCAAAATTGGAATGGAAAGATAAATTGAATATTTTGTATTGTATAGCTTTAGATCTAGAGTCAATTCATTCGCAGGAACTCGTTCATAGAGATTTACACAGCGGAAACATTTTGCAAACACTTGCTTTTCATAACGCATATGTCGCTGATCTTGGACTTTCAAAAAAAGTAAAGGATGGAAAAATTTGTGGAATTCTACCGTATATAGCACCTGAGATTTTAGTGGGTCAACCGTATACGCAGGCATCAGATATTTATAGTCTTGGAGTTATCGCGACAGAGATTTCGACCGGACAAAGAGCATTTGATGGAATTCCGTTTAATGATGATCTTGTATTAAGAATTATTGAAGGATTAAGACCTAAATGTTTAGGCCCAGATTGTTATATTGAATTAGCTATGAAATGTATGGATAATGATCTTGGTAAACGACCTACCGCAATTGAAATTATTGAGATAATAACTCGTTGGTTAGATTACATAGATCAGGAGGATAATAATGAAATCAAAAAACAAATTCTGGAAGCTAGTAAGATTAAACCAGAATCGATTAAACAAATACATACACAAGATATGTATACTAGCAAACTATATAATACTCAAAATTATTCAGAATATATTAGTAAAACCGATTAGTGAAATAGAAATCATGAGTTTCTCAAATTTAGATTAAATTAAATTATGCGAGATGAGACCTGTCATTTCACTAACGGTTTTGAGCAAATTTTTACATCTATATGGACAGCTATGGGAGATCTATGGGTTTTTTTAATAATTAGTTAAGACAGCTACAGGATAAATACGATTTCATAATGAGAAAGCTGCAGGATTTTTCATATGCTTTAAAATTAATTATCATTATTGAGTAATAAGCATAGCAGTTGTTTAATAATAGGTTTAATGCTTATTTGTATCTCTAATTTTAATAGTTAGCATAAATACAGTTTATTATCTCTATTGATTGTTCAAAGTTCGATTAGTTAGTTTAAAAAACTGATTATAAATTGAAAAGAATTAATGTAAAAGCAACTAATCAGCTAATCGATTAATCTATATTAATAGTTGGTACAAAATTATTAATCGATTAGTTGCCAATTCAACCAACCAAACTATTAATTGATTTTCGACTCATATCATTAATCTAACCTAATTATCAGCTCATGATTCCCTATAACAAATTGCAGCACGGAATGATACTGCAATGCACGAAAAAGTTTGGATATGGAACCATACGAATCTGCACGAAATCTATACGGGACAATGTATGAGAAAGCACGTTTACAGCACGTAATAAGGCGCGGATTCCGTGCAACAGTGCACGTACTAACGTGCAATTTTATGTGTTTTCCCGTGCATTATCTCGTGTATATTTACGTGCAGGTAACACATAATAACATATATCCATACATATATATATAATAACATATATCCGTGTATGCATTTAAATTAAATTTATTAACTAAATTTTATTAACTAAATTTTATAACTAATTTTTTTATTAACTTAATTTTATTAACTTAATTTTATTTTCTTAATTTTATTATTTTATTAACTTAATTTTATAATACAAATACTCTATTTTATTAATCTATATTCCGAATAAAGAAAATAGTTTAATACTAAAACTACCAACTTTAAAAATAACCCAGTAACTAATAATATCAAAAAAAAACAAAATCAAAGTAAAATAATAGTGTCAAAATGAAAGGTTCAAAAACAAATAAATCAATTAATCAAAATGACTACTTAACAATAACTCTAATAGTGATAATTCCAATTGCAGCAAATTCAATAGCAGTAACTTGAAGTAGATACTAAGCAAAATGCAATAATATACAGAAAGTAAATAAAAATAAGAAAAAAACAAAGTCATGACCGTGATACCTTCTAAAAATATATAATAAAAACGATAGTAATTCCAATAGAGCAATTTTCAAAGGAATGACTTCAAAGAATAATTTCAAAAACAATGACAATAGCTAAAAAAAAAATTATATAAAATTAGTGAGTTGTAAAAAAAAGGAACAAAAAAAAAACAAAAACAAAGAAAAACAAAAAAAACAACAAATAAATATTTATTTACTCAGAATAAATGTTTTTGTGCATGCCAATGCACAGAAATTATGATCATTAAGAGTCTTAACGATTATCACGTGTCATGTACAAAATTATGATCATTAATAATATTAATGATTATGCATGAAAATTATGATCATTAAGAATCTTAACGATTGTGCATGTTAGTGCATGGAAATTAAGATTAATATATGGATATAATACTATGCACAATAGTACACAGACTTCAATTTTTTGTGTGATAACGTGTATTAAATTTTTTGAATGATCAGTTTCCATGCAGTGATTATGAAACCCGTGCTTACCCGCATAAAATTTCGTATTTATGTATGCATCAAGTTTTCATAGAGATTTCGTAAACTGACTTTAGAAATTTTGTATCGCTAATTATTTCCAACAAGGAATCAATCATCTCAAAATAGTTGTCTAATATGATAATTTCTATATTACTAGAGATAACATACAATTAAACTATTTATTTTAAAAAATAAGTTATAACAATTTATCAACATTCACCAATATTAGCTGACACCTTGCTAAGAGATTATAAAGTTCTCATTGAAGTAAATGTTGTGTTAATTAAATTTATTAGTATTTAATAAGCTTTAAGTAAATTTATAAAATCACAATATGCACATCTTGATTTTAAAATGCCAACACTATTAACAGAAGCAGAATTATCTGCACGTACTTGCCTGTACAGCTTCAGCATTGCTTTGCTTTTTTTTTCATTTGTGATAGTAAACATTCACAAAAATCAAACTAACTCATATTTAATATAATATTCCATCAGAATCATCATTGGTGCAGATGCTCTCTTGAAAGATTTAGATTTGTACAGAGCTAAAATATTATTTGAAAAGGTTGTTTCGGTACCAGAATTTTCATCCAACATATTCAAATCCTGAATTATATGATAAAATATTATATAAATTTACAATATATATAATAAATAGAGGCTAATCATTTTGTAGTTTCTTTCACAGTTTTAGTGTAAATTATTGCTCTTTGACATATCCATTTATCAAACCCGAAAGAAAGGTTGTCTTGTTGATTAGTGTGATTAGAATATCAAATTATTTAGTAATTCAATTGTTAAAAATTAATAGTCAATAAATATTGAAATTGGTAGAGATAAAAACTTTACCAATGAAAACAATCGAGGATAAGTCTGTTAAGTCAGATTTATATGCACCCTAAATTTCTTAATTAAAGATGTTTTAGTATGGTCTCTTTAATAAATTTGTTAATTACATAATAAATATAACTAATTTACTATGTACTGGTATATATCTCTGTTCATCCAATGATATCTGATGTCATGATGTAATGAGATATTGTTTAATGATTGGAAATGCATGTTTGTTTGATGAATTACAACAATTGCAAAATAAAGATCTGTTGTTTTAAAATTCTTCTATAATAATATTCATTTTGTTTCAAAAAATCCTTTTTTATATATTTATTATTCCTATTTTTATAATAAATATACTCATAGTGATAAGAAATTTTGCGACGGCATTCTTTCCGACTGCCCAATTTACAGTTAACTAATAATCAGTTTGATTTATAAATTCGAAATACTGACCTTTAAGACTAGATGAAGGTGCAGACGAGACTCAAAGAATAAGAATATACTATGCCAAAACTTAGTTATATAGTCAAATCTCTCTATAGTCACCCTTTATATAAGCACATCATATAAAAATTCTTTTTATAAGCACATTTATTTTAAAATCAACTATTATAAACATATAAAAAAAAACTTCTTTATAAGCACATCTTAGTAAAATTCTCTTTACAATCACACAAATCTTTATCCTAAGGGGTGTGATTATAGGGAGGTTAGACTGTAGTTAGTTATAATTTTATATTTTAAACCACATCAAGTCATATTTTGTTTATTATCTCTAATAATTTGCAGTATTAGACAACTATTTCAAAGCGAGTGATTTCTTATTGGAAATTATTAGCAATATCCAAAAATTCTTCTGTAATTAATATTAGCTTACGTAATTATAAATTGACAACTGACAATACATTTGCAAGGAAAAAAAATTTTCAATATTTTAACAAAAAAAGTGGTCTATTTATTACTGCGCTTTTCAAATTACTGTGATAACCAATGATCACACATCACACAGAAATCATCGGATTTTTTTAAATTCTTATTTTTCTTAAAAAATTAAGAATTTCAATGATTTCTTGTTGAATTTTGATTTTATAACTAATCATCTATTAGTATACTAATTTTTTTGTTGGTTAACCAAGTATTCATAAAAATTTCTAGCTGTTTTACTCTAAAAGATTTATAGATGCCATGTTCTTTTGGTGAAGACCTTAAGTAGCATATAATTATTTATGCTATGATGGTTATTCAAAAAAGGAAATAGCTTTCTTTTTACACATAAGCAAGTTGCTCATTAATAAAGTTTAAAGAACATATGAAAGTGGGCACAGTTATCAACTCATGCCACCAAATTCCTGGGCAAAAAAAACTTTCAATAGAAATGAGATGAATGTATGTATATATGAATCTATATTTTATATGAATTTATGTTTGTGTATTATTTATGTTTTTTACATTATTTATTTTAACAATTTAATAAATTTAGATTTTACAAAAAATTGTTAAAAAGAAAGTTCTTTTCATTTCACTGAAAATCACTTCACCAACACCTTATTTTACCTACACTTATTTTACTGACAATTATTTTACTAACAATGTAATTCTAGCATTGTTATTAGAGTCAAGTTAGAATTATAGTTAAGATTAATACAGTTTTTAAAAAAATTTGTTAGTAAAATGAACCGTTAGTGAAATGAGGTGATTGTTGATAAAACTTATATACCATCCAGTTGCCCATATTCAATCACCTCCTTTAAAATAAAAACTGAAAGTAAATAATAGGTAAATACAATACTAAATAAAGTATATGTAATATAAAAAAAAAATAAGTTACATCATCTAGTTCATCTGGTTTAGTTGTTGTTTTTATTGCTTTTTTTTTATCTTTAGATTTTAATCGATTTAAAATATTATTGCAATATCCACAAAGAGAAAGCTGAAAGGTTCTTTCAAATTTATTCTATAATTGAATTTCATAACACATCCATGAATATATTTGAATTTGGGTGTTTCCCAGGTAGATTCAAAACAGCATGTATATGCTTGTTTAACTAAATCTGTTCTATTTTTTCTTGCTGGCACTTGAGAAAGTTTACAACTGCAAGAATCATCATGCAAATTAACTGCGCAGTACAACCATTTTTGACACCCAAAGCAGGTGCCATGGTAATATCGAAGTTTTGCATTTTTTACCTGACATAAGTTCACTAATTTGGAAAAGAATGACAGAAGTTCAATTAGTTTCATATTTATAATTATTTTGGTATATTCAATTTTAAACTCTCAATATTCAGATTTCTGATTTTCAGATTTCTGTGTGGTGTGTGATAAATGAAAATCACTGATCACAGTGATTTGAAAAGCGCAGTAATAATGAAATTATGTTGCAGCACCTTGAATTATAACAGTATTACAAAATTTTCGATGTCTTAATCTCGATAGTTTAAAATTAACACTTCGCATGTCTAATTTTTGAAATTTGAAATAAAAATGCGGCTTTGTGACCAAGGCGTAATGAAATTATGTGCCAATTAACAACATGATTGAGCTTATATGACTAAAGGTAAAAAATGATTACCTCGTGATTTTTATAGATTGCCATTCGTAAAATATGGTGGTTTCATAATGTATCTGATTTGAGAATTGTGCATCTTGCAGGAGCCAAAGTATTACTGTAGCTTTAAACAATGAATTTACATTTCATTAATTATTGAATGTGGCTTGTTTCAATTTAGTCTTACTTTCTCATCCTTGTCTTGCAGGAAATTGACTAACATTGGAATGTCTGCCTTAAAATGCGCTTAGCGTTATGAAATCTAGATGAATATTATCAAATATTACAACAATTAATAATCATTTATAAATATGTAAATTTAGGGAATTTAATTAAATTACGGACGTCGGGTGTTTACAAATATTTAATGCCTGAATTTGGATTTCACTCAAAATCTTTATCATGTCGCAATATTTTGGCTGGTAAAGAAGGCATCAAATGTTTAAATCACTTATGCAAGAATTTTTTAAATATTTTATATTCTTCAGATATTCCTTCACTTCAACCAGTTTGCCTTAATGGAATTACTAAAGAAGTTTTGTGAGGATAAATATTATGATGTTTTAAAAAGTCTTCTATTTGACATGGTAAAATTCTTAGGTCATATGTTATTTAATAAAGTTCGGAGATTAAAATCGCTTTTGGTGATGATTTCTCTATTTTATCTTATGGTATAGATTTTTTTACAGGTCAATTTCTAAAACTTCAGGTGAAACCAGAACTGATTCGCTATTAAGCAATGCTAGCCAATCAATTTTTGTATAGGCTACGCTTCATTAGTTGAAATTTTGGGGTTGTTACACTAAAATACAAAATATGCATTCTAAAATTACGTTTTTGATAGCCAATATGTATAAGTCAATTAATTAGCTAATCAAAAACGTAACAATTAATATAACTTTTGTACCACTTCGACTAAACATAAATTCCAGACGATTAACGTATTTATTTATTTAGTGTAAGATTTTTTTAAAAATAAAAATGAACTCTAAACAACTTCGTGCACTTGGTCGAAATTATAAATATGGTATTAGTGTTGAGAAAGATGAAAAGAAGGCTTTTGAATATTATATTAAAGCAACTGAGTTAGGAAATTCGGATGCGATGTGTGAAGTTAGTGATTGTTATTATTATGGAATTGGAGTAAAAAAAAATTATCAGAAATCTTTTGAATATTGTAAAAGATCGGCTGATTTGGATAATTCTATTGGAATATTAAAAGTTGGTTTTCATTATGCGACTGGAAGGGATGTTGATCAAGATAATAATAAAGCATTTGAATACTTTAAGAAAGCTGCTAATATGGGTGTTGGAGCAGCAATGAGAAATGTTGCTTTATATTATCGAAATGGTATCAATACAAAGAGGGATATTCAAAACGCAAATTATTGGTTCAGGAAACATAAAGTCTTGTGAAAACTAATAAATCACCAGACAATATCAATCCTGAACTTAAGAGAATATTAGATGATAATAGATTTAAATTATCTTGGATTGATTATAATGAGTTCAGAAATATCAGGGAAAAGGGAAAGGGAGGATTTGCAACTGTATATAGTGCAACTTGGCACAATCGAATTAATCACACAACGGGGAATGTGGCACTTAAAGTGATTCATGATTCAAGCAAAAATGAGCAAGAATTTATCCAAGAGTTGAAAAATTATAGTGAAATTGGTTACGAGAATCCTTCATTCTTGAACTGTTTTGGAGTGTCAAAAAATGATTATGGCGATTACATTATTGTTATGGAGATTGCACCAAAAGGTTCATTACGACAAAATCTAGTACAAGTATCACAATTAGAATGGAAAGATAAATTAAACATTTTGTGCAGTATGGCTTTTGATCTCGATTCGATTCATTCGCAGGAACTCGTTCACAGAGATTTACACAGCGGAAACATTTTGCAAGGAGTTAATCTGCAACATGTATATATAACTGATCTTGGACTTTCTAAAAAAGTAAAGGAAGGAAAAATTTGTGGAATTCTACCATATATAGCACCTGAAGTTTTGATGGGTCAGCTGTATACTCAAGCATCAGATATTTACAGTCTTGGAGTTATCGCGACAGAGATTTCGACCGGACAAAGAGCATTTGATGGAATTCCGTTTAATAATGATCTTGTATTAAGAATTATTGAAGGATTAAGACCTAAATGTTTAGGACCAGATTGTTATATTAAATTAGCTAAGAAATGTATGGATAAAGATTTTAACAAACGACCTACTGCAACAGAAATTATTGAAATAATTACTCGATGGTTAGATGAAATGGATCAGGAAGATGATAATGAAATCAAAAAACAAATTTTGGAAGCTAATAAGATTAAACCAGAATTGAATAAACAAATACATCCACAAGAAATATATACTAGCAAGTTATATGATACGAATAAATTTTCCGAATATATTAGTTAACCTCTTAATACAGTAGAAATTGTGAGCAAATTTACCAATTTAGATTAAATTAAATTATATAAAGTAAGTGTTTATGTAACATGCACTTAGGAAGGTACAGCTATATTAATTTCTCTTAGCAAAATTTTTCTACGATATCTAATAATCATTATGTTATCATTATTGTTTTCTAGTATAAATATTTTTCTTACTATCTGTAAATTCTAGGTTTTAATCTTATCATTTGTATTTTGCCTATTTGCTTTTTGTAGTAAGAAATCTTTTATCTTTTTTTTGAATCACTTCTCAGCTTCCTTTGAAAATTTTATTTACATAAATTTGAAAAATAATGAGAAATACCAATAGTATAGTCAATGTAACAATGCAAATTTTAATAAGAACGTTGGTTTAATTTTATACCAAAACTAAATACGTATTAGAAAGTTATATCTATGTATTTAATTATAGACCGAAAGTATGTTAAATGGCATCCAAATACTCTCTTAACAATTACCAATCCTAAAAAATCGGTGTATTTTAAGAATTGGTACTCTTTCCTACAGTTATTGGTGGTTTTGCATTAGCGAAAGCGAAAGTCGAAACCTAATTTAACTTTGCTAAAAAATTTAAAAGTGCAAAATGCGAATTGGAGAAATCAAATGAATACGAGAGATGGTAAAACTTTACAAAGACACCGAAATGAAAATAAATGCAAATACTATTTACTATAAAAATTCTGTACCAAACTAGTTATTCGAAGTGTTTTATTTTTATAAAGTTTGAAGGTTCGATATAACAATTTAGTCTATGATGTTTATTTACATTATTAGAATCCGTTATCTTGGCAAGTGGTTTAAAAATAAAAAAAAAGATTAAAAAGATTAGATAAAAAAAATAAAAAGATTAAAAAGATTAGATAAAAAAAAAAAAGATTAAAAAGATTAGATAAAAAAAAAAAAAACAATTTGAATATTTATTGCTGGCGATGAAATTGTAAGGTTTAATTTACAAATTCACTGCTTATGAGATCACATGAAATTATTCAAATATCCAATCTTTCCCACTTAGGTTAGTATAATTAGTAACTATGTTATGAAGGCATATATTAGTGATGCACTATATTCATGATACTTGCGATAAAAATATAAACATTTACAAAACATGTAAATTATCAAAATATAAACAGATAAACATATCAGTTATATACAATGAAGAAAATGAAATTTTTATTTGAGTATTGTTTTTTTTTTAATATTTAACTAGAGGTTGGAACCGGTTTAATAATTCAACTTTATCACATAATAATAACAATAATTCGCATAAATCAAATTGTAAAGCAGGCAGAACTCGAGGGTCCCTACTACGGACGGTGCATATAGACATAGGCTTACATTCAGACTTTTTGGTAATATTATTTGGCATAAATTTTCGTACAAACTAAGCATGTCATATATATTAGGGCGATAAAGATAAAGGTGTTGAAAGAGTTGACATTGCGAATTGTAATATAAATGTTGATCAAACAATGTATGCATTAATCACACCGAAATCAATACTTATCGAATCCGCTTTCGGAAAATATTTTAATAAGCCGGGTGGTATCATGTCTAAATAACACCAATATGGTGTGGGTTATACTTTGGAGTGCCTTACTCCATTAACATCTCTAGGTGTTCTTGCAAAGTACATCGGCTAATGCTTTTTCCTCCTTCTCAATCATAATATAGAAAATAGGTTGTTGTAAGTTTATACGGTTAAGTGGCTTTAAATCTCATATTAGGAATTTTTATGATTTTGACTTTCAATACTATAGATTATGACAAAATGGCTTTTTGAAGGCGAGATTCTGTATTATTTTTTTTTAAACATAAGAATATACTTTTGGCTTGCCGAAACTTTTCACGCAGCCCTGAATTACGATTGAAAATGGCCTACCGATTCATATAGTATCCCCTGATTTGCGATTTGCGTAACATCTCGATCGACTGATAAAAAAATTAACAAGTTTCAGACAAGAGAATCTATTTTCGACTCGGTTTAGTTTTTTCAAAGAGCTCTTATTAGTGCAAAAGTACGTTACTGTGTATTTTGGACGTTTCTTAGAGACGTTCAAATTTTGAAATTTTTGTAAATTAGAACATCCGGGTGAAAAGTCTCGATTTTTCATTTAAAAACTTTCAAAGTCCGAATCTTCCCAAATCACTTCGTTTAATAGTGATATTGAGCTTTTCGGGAAGATGAGCGAAGAAGTAAAATTTGTTAAACAACAAGTACTTAGTGTTTATTCCTTCTTCTGGGTTTGTTTTTCTTTTCTTTGAAATGAGCTCTAACTAATTATTCCTCTCTTTTGTAAACCTTTCCTTACTGAAACGAATTAGGAATTGAAGATCTGAATCTGGAAATGATTGAACAATAAGTATTAATTTCCATTTTGTTTCGAGTTTTTTTTTTCGAAATTAGGTTAGAACGGTTGGAACACGAAATGGAGGCTTGAAGATACGAACGACTGGAAATGATTGAACAGCAAGTATCAGTTCCCATTATTAGCTCTGAGTTCTTTTTCTTTGAAATATGTTTTAATGCTGTCTTCCTGTTTGTAGGTTTTTTTCTTGGAAAAACGGCTAGGATGCGAAATGGGAGTTTGGAGATTTGGGTCTGGGCGAAGAACTGGAATCGTCAAATTAATTTCATTCTTCGAGTGTGACATGATAAAGTTAATACTTTCTCGTAGGATGAGTATTCATAGAAGATGTTATGTAATTTATGTTCGTTGATTCTCTTCAATCTTATTTTACTACTACTTTTTTTTCAGATCTCTTTATTATACAGTTATAGGCGATTATAAAGATTTTCGGAACCTCGGAAAGGATTTTTTTCTCGATTTTTATTGTTTTTTTTTTAAGAAGTTTTTCTGTGAATTTGGGACTTCGGATGTGAACATAAGAGGACTGAAAGTATTGAGCCTTCGAAGTTATATTATAGCAATTCACATTTTATTTTGTTATAAAGTCTCATCTTGTAGTGCCGATTTGTATGTTACAGATCAATCTTTTTTTAATTTTTAATAAATAATTTAAGTGTCATGAGAATAACGTCGAATATAGTACAGATGTAATAAATATTGTATTTTATTTTATTATTTTAAAAAAATTAAAATCGAACTTTTTGAATGTTATTTATTAAAATAAAATTTAATCTCTATGTAGCCTCCGTAATAAGGATAATTTTAATGTCTTATATTATTAACGATAGAATATTATATAGCGTTATATATTGTTAGTGTTATCACATATTTTGAGTTTAGAGGTAGTCATCACTTTCACAACGTACGACAAATTTTATATTGATTATTTTATTTTTTAAATTTGAAAATATAATATTACATGATTATTGTAGTATTTCTATATTTAGGTTGGTTTATTTTCCCGAAGAACCAAATAAGTCAAGAGTGGTGTTCTTGCAAAAGCGCATTTTCTAACACTTTTCCACCTTCTAATCCAATATTATTATAACTAAGATCAAGGTAGTATTCTTGGAAAGTTCGTTGGCTATTTCTTTTCCACATTCTGACTCAATATCATTATAATTAAGATCGATCGAAGTCAATGCGATGTTTTTGCAAAGTGTTTCTGCCAATTTCTTTCCTTTATCTGAAACGCAACTACAATCTTGAAATGTAAATGTTTTTAGAGTATTATTTTCAGAATGTGCTTCGGATAGACCTTCTCCTATCTCAAATTCACGTTGATCATCACCACCACGGAGTTTTAACGAAATTAGTGTGTGAGAGCATTCGCTAAAGCCTTCTTCTCAGTATTATTAATTTGTAGAACTTGTTTCCAAAAATCCAGTAATTTCGGTCGAAACACTGGTTTTACAATGAGTATTTTTTGAATGAAATTAAAATGCTTTAGTTCGCAGGAGCATTTTAATTATATCTATAAAGCAAATGAAGTTGACAAGAATACCTTTAACCACGTTAAGTAATAATCGCAAAATGATCGTATCGACAATGGAACAGAAAGCACCAATATTAATATAAATCCCCAAGAACCATCTGAGAGCTGGAGTATTCTTAAAAAAATTGGCAATATTTAACCTCATCTTCTTTATCATCTTCTTTCTTTTCATCATCTTCGCTACCCTCGTTCTTTTCATTGTTTTCGTCGTCTTCGCATCATTAATTTTCTAAGAAAGGTGCTTAGCTAACTCTTACAAGTCTTAAGTTACAGATGTAAATAGACTTGCGTAGTAAAATAATGGCTTTTCTTTGGATGGGAGCGAAATTTTAAATTTCATTAAGGGTTTCTTAAACATTCTAAGGCAAGTGATTTCGTTAAAACGTCGATTAGAAAAAGTGGTAAAAATTTTATTACGTGCGCATGTTGGATTTATATAATATCAAAAAATCCAAATTTGGTAAGGATTGTTTACATGTGCGCAGTCCGTATGCTGTTTTTAAGAAAATTAATATTAACGTTAATTACGTATTAAAAAATAGAATACACCATGACGTGTGTATACGAAATTGTAGTATAAATAATTTTTAATAATCGAATCAAAAGTTGGCTAAAATTTAAGAACCGATTTTACTTTAAATGGCAAGCCATTGATCGTAATATTGAAGTCATCGTTAAACCAGTATTGTTATCGTTATAGAAATCTTAAAGATAATACAAAAATAATACTATTATTATACGTAAATGACATCAGAATATCACTCCATTTACTAAGGATAGGGATGGCAAATGATTTAAAACATAATGTTTTAAATCAATTTTATATTGCTTTAAGAAATAGTGTTTTGCATATTCGATTGAGAAATAAAATTTCACAGCAACACTGAAATTGAAATTAAGATGCAGTAACTCATCCATCAACACCGTTTAAACCAAATCATGTTTTACCATCCCTAACTAAGGAAGAACGAATTTTTGTGATATTTATCGTCTTATGACCCAATATCACGATAAGTTTTAAACATGAAATTATTGTGTTGGGTGAGTCAATTAATACATAATATACATGCTACATAAATCGCATTCTTGATATATAAATATATAAACCATCCTAACTGCATCAAGAAGATAACCTTGACTAACTAGAAATTATTATCTGTTATGAGAAAAGATGTGCTTTGTATCAACACCAATCAGATTTAAGACTTTGATTTTTATTGAGAAAATTCTGGGAGAAAATCACGTGATCACCGCGCTTAGAATCGGCCAATAGAATTGCAATTAAGTCTATAAAAAAATCAATCGGAACTTATTATTCATTAAATAAACCTTCTAACAAACCTTGTAAGGGAGATGTGAGATCATTAAATTCGGTTCAGTGGATCGTGTGAAATGAGGAAAAAGTTTCTGATTCTTTAAAATTTCTCTAAGTGAGTCGCGAAACTTTTCCCCTCATATCTCACGATCCACTGAACCGATTTTAATGATATTACCAGCATTGAAATCGTTATCATCTTTTCTACAAAGTTTATTAAAGCTTCAGGCCAGATTTACTTACTTTGCAAAAAAGATGTGACTTCTACAGATCACAATGTCGTGTGGGAACGGAGATTCAATAGATTTTAAGAATATTATAAATATTATTGCGCTTTGCAAAAAGATGTGACGGTTTTGTAGATTCTAAGAATCTTACCAATTTCAAAAAATATAAGCATGACTGATCGAAAATATGAATTAATAGACAATGGGGTCACATCTTTTTTGCAAAGCGCTATAATAAATAATAGCATTTAACGGTTTTTTTTTTAAAGCTAATTATTGTTGATCATCAATCCCTAAGCTCTTGTCAACAATACTTATTAATACTTCAAGTTCGATAATCCCACGAAATTATAATGTAATCTTTTTATGTCAAACATTGTATAAGTCACATTCTTGATTTTTGCTATACTCAAGTCAAATTTATGTTTTAGTATCTTATTTATTGCATCCCTTTACTTGATATCGGTTTATATTATTGTTTAAATTTTAATACGATTCCGTGTTATTAAAATTTAATTTAAAAAAAGGTAAAGTAAAAATTACTATATATTCTATACGCATTAAAACTTGTTTCAGGTTCCTTAAACATATCAGAATTCGTCAAAATAAAAACAGAAGAGTATTTTGATTCGTAATATAAAACTTGTCACAATTGGTTTTCTTCTTTATATTTTATCAACAATATAGATACCCTCATATTTTTGAGACCTGCCTTCAGAATTAGGCTTTTTATTAATTGAAAGAGATTACCAATAGTAAGTTAGAATATGTGTGGTATTTTCATTTGATGTATTCTATTTAATTTGGAATTAAATTCGCTTTGCTCTTCAAATAACCGTAAAAATGTCTAAATTTCAACTAGATTATGCTTTGAGCAATACAAAGATAAGGTTAATTTGTAGGGATGTTATCAGTTTATCAATTTTTCTTATCGAAGTAGTTTTAAAGTAATTTCGAAAGAGAAAAAAGAGAAATAAAGGATTACATAAAATGAAATCTAATTATTTGGCCATTTTTTAATCTTCTATACCTGATATAGTGACATCAACTTGAAGCTTGATGAGTTTAATCAAAGTATTCGACATGCAAAATACTTCCAGCATTATTACCAAATTCCTATCTTAATAAATACTATCAACCGTGCTAATGAACTGCTTGAATTTTTCAAATTACCAAAGCTAGGAATTATACTAGAGAATAACCGTAATTTCTTGATAGCTTTAATAAAATTTAATAAATTTAAGCTTTAATAAATTTAATTTATAACAGAAAATTCCCACCCAAATACACTTAAAAACGAAAAAAAAAAAGCAACATAATTAACTATTGTGCAATTTTTTTTATATTTTCTATAGCTCCAAAGATAAACTACGGACAATCCAATAGCTAAAGCTACATGCATAATAATCCCAATAATTCTAATAATTTTCATTTGAGATGCTAATGTTTATAAATTTTATTTAAATAAGAGATTATTTTAATGTAAAAAAAAAAAAAACATTAAAAAATGAGAATACCTGTAAATGGTCGATTAGAAGTAACCCACGTGAAAGATATTGTGTCAAATATGTAAAAATCCATACTCGAATCCAAAGGTTCAGAAAAATCATTCGTAATATTACCTAGATAGAGTATTAATTTTAACCTATATTATAATATGATATCAAGAATGTTAAATATAATTACCAAAAAATATAAACATATAATTTTCAAAAATAGTGGCCGTATGATAAGCAAGTGAAGGTGGCGCGTTGTCTGGTGGAATTGATGGTGCTGACCATTGAAATGGAATAGTTTTTGACATTAAGTACAATAAGGTCTGGTGTGGATCTTGATCCATTAAGATTACAACCGCCATAGATGATGATATTTCCATCGGATGCTGTAAATAAAATTAAATAAAATTAAATATTATTTTGATAAAAAATTTTAATATTGTATAATTTACCTAGCACAGCTGTATGTCCGTCTCGTGAACCAACCTTATCACCAACAGCATACTATATAAAAGTAATTCATTTGAAATTTAAATGCTAATTCATAAACATTAAACGACGCAAGTACTGAAGTATGAACCTACCTGACATTTCCATGTCCCTGATTTGATTTCATACGTCCAAATCTAGTGTAAAACTTATGTTAAATTTTCTTTCTTAAACAATGATTAGTACTACAGTCAGACCCCCCTAAATGCTACCCCCCCTAAATGCAACACCTCTCTAAATGCACGCCTTCTTTCGGGCCCAAACTAATATTGCATCTATAGATTTTTACCTCCCTAAATGCGATACCTCTCTAAATGCACGTGCTAGAGCTGGTCCCGACGACGTGCATTTAGAGAGGTCTGACTGTACTATATGATCAACTTTCACCTGATTAATGTCAACATCTTGGACAATAGTACCATTGATTACTTCATATCCACCAATGAAGACAATAATACCATTTTCAATGAGTGTTGCAGTATGAGAGGCTCTTTTCGTTGGAATATTAAAAGAAAACGAATCAATACTAATCCAAGATAAATTGGTTGAATCTAATATGATAAAATCATTAAAAAACTCAGTTTTATCAAACTCATAATTATATCGGACTGTTGCTCCACCAAAAATATAAATCCATCCGGTAGCAGGATCAAAAGTAGATGAAGCTTCTCTACGTCTTAATGGTTGAACTCCTGCAACTTCTGGTACTGCCCATTCGTGGTTAACAGCGTCAAAACTATATATTAAATTATCGCTTAAATTACCGATATTTATATCCGTCGTCACGCCACCAATCAAAAATACTTTTGACCCATTTATTCCTGCAGTTCCCCACATGCTAAAAACAGGAAGCATAGGAAGAAGATCATACATCAAAAATGATGCGTCTAGAGGCTTTGAAAGATCGAAACAAAAAACCATGGTACCACTTATTGTATAAAGTTTAGAGTCTAACAAAGCATCTGTAACCGCAAAAAGACCAGAACCCTTTACAACATAACTATAAATAATAATAATAATAAATAACAAAAACATGTTTAATAAGAATTATTATATTATTTTGATGGATATTTGAACGCTCAAACAAATCTTTTCTCTTTATATTAGAGACATATAGAGACATTTAAAATGGTAAATAAACTCCGAAATATTTGTTCTGTTTTGATTAGAGGTTCGATGGCATAATAATTCAATTCTTTAATTGCGATTTTCTAGAACATAGCGTAATTGATAAAATATCCGATTAAAATATCACATAATCATTGGTGAAATGGGAAATAAATGAACAGTAAACTAATTTATTTTAGCGAAAGAAAAAAAATATAGTCGATTAATTCTTATATCCATTCTTTAGTTCTATGAGGCTAAATTAGAGTCATAAGTTATACCTTAATAATCACCGACAGTAATATGATATAATGGTCTAGAAAAGTCAAATTGATCAACATTCTTTATCCAATAAAGCAAAAAGTCCATTGTCTATATTTAAAATGTTAAATAAATTCCGAAATATTTATTCTGTTTTGATTAGTGGTTCGGTAGCATCAAACAATTCGATTTAATTCTTTAATTGCAATTTTCTAGAACAAAGAATAATTGATAAAGTTACCTCACTAAAATATTACATAATCATTAGTGAAATGGGCAATAAATGAATGGTAAGTAGATTTATTTTAGCGATAGAAAAAATATAGTCGATTAATTATTATTTCTATTCTTTAGTCTCCATGTGGTTAAACTAGAGTCATAAGTTACGTATATCTTAATATTCATTCATTCGACAAAAATATTGATATAATGGGTTGAATTAAAAACTAGAAAAAGTCAAACTGATCAACATTCTTTATCCAGATGTCCATTGTCTACTATATAAGTTATGTAACCCGAAGCGAAACTTACCCAAACTGATTTCAAAAAATTTTCAAGTAGTTTCAGATAGACAACTGCATAATTTCCTACCAATAGATAGATACCTTATATTTCACTGACAATCAATTTACAGACAAATTTATTTAATAGACAGTTTACTTTACCAACAGCTCATTTCATAGACAATTTATTTCATCGACATCTCATTTCACAAAGTAATTCCGTCACTGCATTAGGGCTAGTTTGAAAATGAGGTTATGGTTAACGCAATTTATAAGAAAAACCTTTATGTGAAAATGAGCTGTTGATTAAATAAACTTATTTGCGAGTTGATTGTCTGTAGAATAAACTTACCTGTGAATTATTGTGGTTTGCATCCCCTTTTGAAAATTATCAAAAAAAAAAAACGGTTTATTTTAGGTGATTACTGGTGATTTCCGATTTCTTAAAACTACTATCGCGGTCGTGAAAAGAAATCAGTAATCACTTAAAAATCACAGTAATCAAGCGATTTTTTTTTGGGGGGATACGGAATTTTGCAAACCGCAATATACTTGTCGACGAAATAAGGTGTCCATGATGTGATTATCGATCTGCGTTAATTGTTTCATATCCAAAGAATTCGGATTCTGTATCCGTCTAGCTTCTATATGCTAATTCTCTATTTTAGTCTGATTATTCGTAATTTATTAATACTAATCTTATCACTCTATCAATAAAGTGCTACCTTAAACAATAAAAGATCAATTAGCAAGAAATTAAAATATCTGCATCAGATTAAAATAAATATAATTCAGCTAATTTCTAGCCTAACAAACTCAGAATTTAAATTTTGATCTGATGAAATTTTAATCTAATGAACGAAATTTACACTTAACTCGTCAGGTATTATTAATCTGATTCAAATAAAAAAATTTAATCAGCATAAGCACAGTTTAAAATTATCTTTCAGAAAAGACAAACATTTTGCAACAATATGAATAAAGTAAATAAAAGAACTTGGACAATATTAAAAAACATTTTAATTATTGGATATAAATTTATTATTCCAACATCTTTGCCTTTTTTCTTTCCCTTTCTTTTTTTATATTTTGGTTTATATGAATTTTTATCTCTGACATATTGGTTTTTTTGCTCTGCTTGTGTAATTTTGTTAATTCCTTATGGAAAATCAATTTCAAAGTTAAAAGATTTGTATTGGCTTCATAAAAGATTGTTTATGTTACATTCAAAGTTCTTCGTGTCCTTTATTATAATAACTTTTGTTGGGTTTATTGCTCTAAGTTGTTTCTTATTTCGGTTAGGTATCACACCTTTTAACCATCCTTCTATTTTACCTATGATTTTGGCAAGAGGTAACTTACTTAGCCAATATACTGCATACGTAAGAGTTATCTGGTTAAATTATCTCTACATCTCAGTTAATAGGAACAAATTAACTATTTTCCCTTCTGGTTCAAATCAATTATTCAATCAAGTTATTATACAAATTTTCTTTATAGATGAATTCTGCTCTATCTTTCATACGAATGGAAATTTTGTTTTTGAAATAATTATGGAAAGAGAGTCTATTTCTAAAACTTATGTAATATCTTCATTAGTACTTTATGTTTGTTTTATTTTAGTTAATATTTTAATAGTCGTGTTTAAAGATTTCTGATACTTCAAAATTATACACGAAGAATTCAGTTCATATATATCTACCTTATGTTTGATATGTTCTAAAGAAAAAACTTACCCAGCGTGGTGTCAAGAATGTGGAGCTAGATATTTCAAAGAGAATTTTCATAATTGGACTAGCGGAGATGAAAATATAGATAAATTAATAAGAGAAATACAATTGAATTCAAAACTTCCTGTTGATTTTGTTGAGTGGATTCCATATGAAAATATTGAGGAACAGGCAAAAATTATTGGTAATAGTGGATTTGGAACTATTTATGAAGCATTTTGGAAAGAAGGCCCAATCACTGGAATCTCTGCGAATGAATCCATGTTTAAAAGAACGAAAGGAATTCAGGTTGTATTAAAAAGTTTAAAAAATATGAATATTTAAAAGAGGTAACAAATTATTATTACAGCATATATATTTATTTATATCATTAATACTTTAAAGCCTACAGTATGTTTATATTATTTATAGCTTTGTACGTATATAACATGCAGTACAAATTCTAATTACTATATAACTAAGACCGGATATAAAACTGGAAGATCACCAATAATTCGTTGTTACGGCCTCACTAAACGTCCTGTACGTAGCTGTATAGCTGAAGACTTTTACGAATATATGCTCGTATTACAATGCGCAAAATTTGGTAATTTGAAAAATTATATTTCTAAAAATTTCAATAATATGAAATGGCTTGAGGAAACTAAAAGGCATAAGGATACTAGTGAGGGACCTAAACTTGTTCAAATTTTCCCTAAATTGCTTATTCTTGCTAATATTGCAAATGCTCTTAGAGTTATTCATGAAGAAGGCATAATTCATCGTGATCTTCATTGTGGTAATATTTTAATTGATGGTAATGGCATGACTTATATTTCTGACTTTGGGCTCTCTCATTCTTATGAAGATTTTACTACGAACGAGATATATGGTGTCCCGCCATTTATTGCACCAGAACTTTTAAATAAAAAAGAAGTCAGCATGAAATCAGATGTTTATAGCTTTGGAATTATTATGTGGGTACTTTCTTCTGGAATACAACCGTTTCATAATTGTGATCACAATTACGAATTAATACTGAAAATTTGTGGAGGAATTCGTCCTCAAATACTAGAAGACTCTGCTCCAGATTGCTATAATGAACTGATGAAAAGATGCTGGAATTCTGATCCTGAAAATAGACCGACTTCATCGGAAATTTATGACACCTTGTGTTCATGGTTTAATTCAAAACATTATAAGAAATTTAAAGAGATCGATAATGCTGACAAACTGCGAAATATTCAAAAGGTTGAATCTCACACTGGATCTGAATTATCAATTAATATCCATCAAAACAGCGAAACTAATACGGGATCGACAATGTCTGCCATAGAGAATAAAAATATTCAAGAGGCTAAATCTCGTACTGAATCTGAATTATCAATTAATATCCATGATCTTAATACGGAATCGATAATGTTTGTCATAGAAAATAATTTTATGGTGTAAATTAATGTACGTTAATACGAATTAATAGTAATTTGGAGAAAGATACGTATAATGAATAAAACTTTTTAGCATACACTACTGAGTGACTACACACCTAAGGATGACTTAAAACTTACTATATAATTAATTTATGGCTTATTTACTTTTTAATGATTATATCATACTACAAGTTAGAGCTTTGAACCGGTTTTTTATTTTTCATATGCTAAAAACCGGGTTTACAGTTGATTTGAAAATTAGTAAGGCACTTGAAAAATTTGTTTGTTTCCCGAAACCTTTCGGATTTGTCTTACAACTCTTCGGAAATCACATCACAATTTTCGGATCGAAATTAGATGATTCATAAGACGAATCCGAAAGGTTTCATGAAACAAGCAAAATTTTAAGTGTCCCACTAATTTACAAATCAACTGAAACTTATGAAAAATAAAACCGGTTCCAAACTCTATTACAAGCCAATCAGAAGATTCATTACGCCCTGAGATTTGAATAAGTCATATGACTGTAAACCAACCAATAATAATAGAATTATTTTGTAATACAATATAACATTGGTTTAAATTGATTTACTCCTTCCATTGCGTTTAAGATTCAAGAATTAAATTATAATTTCAAGCGGTCTCAATAAAAATTATTTTTAAAAATTATTTTTTTTATTTTTGAAGTTAGAAAGAAAATATATTTTTTTTTAATTTTTTTAAAAAAAAACATTCGTTGAACAAAAAGAAATTAAAAAGAAAATTATTTTTATTTTATTTTATTTTATTTTTTCGAAAGAAAATTTTGATTAGCACACATGTGATTAGCGAAATTTTAAATTGGTGACGCTAGGGTGTTTTACGCCTGTAGGGAAAATAACTGTCAGGGAAATGGGACGTAACTCAAAATATGATTTGAAACATTTAAATAAATTGGTCATCAATAAACAACTTAATTTAAACTTTATTTCTTTAGTTGACAAATATGCTTAGACCCTTTCATAAATTGCATGGTATTGCAAGGATTTTCATGATCGCTAGAAGGAAAATTTTGTGTATGGTTATTTTGAATAGGGTTTAAAATACAATATATAATCATTGAACAAAAAGCACCGAACATTTTGTAAAAAATTATAATACACATATATCGGCATTAATAATGTATACAATATATATTATATACTATATATATACTATATATATCTTCTTAACAGTCATCAATTCCGGCCCAAATTGCATAGCTGAAAATCGGCAAGTCGGTCGCTAATCAATCCGGAGCGTCGTGTAACCTACGATCGGCTTAGTCGAATTAGAGGCGTTTAGATCTGGCGAGTGGATATTTGGGTCATAGGTTCTTTGAATTGTATTGGAGATCAAATAATACACAGTAACGGTGCTTCTTCTTATCAACTATCGATTCACAAAAACCACGGCTTGGTCCTTCCTCTTGGATTTCAAACCGGAACACTATAACCACAAGTTTCCACGGTACGTTGGGAGAGTTGGACAACTATAACCACCGAAGTCCTCAGTCAGTCGAGAGTCAACCAGAAAAAAAACAATTGTCTACGAAGTCACGTGAGCAAGCAATTAACGAGAACTACCCTTGATGCAAAACATTCATTTTTGATACACCTGTATCTACTTTTTGACATGCAGATCCCGGTAAAAATAAAAATTTTAAAACTTTGAGCGAAGATATCTCAACAACTACCTGCTTGAATCTGATAAAACCATTTAGATTTGAATTCTATGGATACATAAAATTCAAATAAAAAAAATTCATCAAATTTAGCCGTGTGGTTGTCGAGATGTCTTCGCTCAAAAACAAAACACCTATCAAAATAGAAGCTGCGCCAAATTTCTCTAACTTCGAGCGAAGATATCTCGATAAATAGCTGATCAAATTCGATAAAACTTTTTTTATTTGAATTCTATGGATTCATAGAATTCAAATAAAAAAATTTAATCGAATTTAGTCAAGTGGCTATCGAGGTATCTTCGCTCAAAATTAGAGAAAAATAAATACCTATTACAATGGAAATTTTCTCTCTAACTTTGAGTTAAGATACCTCAATAACAGTCTGTCCAAATTAGATAAACTTTTTTTATTTGAATTCTATGGATTCACAGGATTCAAATAAAAAAATTTTATTGCATTTAATCAAGTGTTTGTCGAGATATCTTCACTCAAAGTTAGAAAGAAAATTTGGCGTAGATACACATCTTGATTTTTTCTTTGAGCTAAGATATCTTGACAAACACTTGATTAAATACAATGAAATTTTTTTATTTGAATTCTATAAATCCATAGAATTCAAATAAAAAAAGTTTTATCTAATTTGAATGGATCGTTATTGAAGTATCTTTGCTCAAAGTTAGAGAGAAAATTTCTATTTTTATTTTTCTCTAATTTTGAGCGAAGATACATCGATAGCCACTGGACTAAATTCGATACAAATTTTTTATTTGCATTCTATGAGTCCAGAGATTTATATAAAAAAGTTTTATCGAATTTGGTCAGATAGTTATCGAGATATCTTCACTCAAATTAAAGAGAAATTTGGCGCAGCTTCTATTTTGATAGGCGTTTTGTTTTTGAGCAAAGATATCTTGACAACCACATGGCTAAATTTGATAAATTTTTTTATTTGAATTTTATGTATCTATAGAATTCATATCTAAAGGTTTTATCAGATTCAAGCAGGTAGTTGTCAAAATATCTTTACTCAAAGTTTTTAAAATTTTTATTTTTACTAGGATCTGTATAGAATTAATACTTCAATCCAGATATAAGTATATCTGGATTGATGTTTTGTTATAAATTTATAGTAAAGCATAGTAATTATATCCAGTGTTATACCAAAAAATCACCTCTTCAGAAAATTCCAGAGACAGGTTTATAGCAGGCCTACCGAAAATTAAATTGCAATTAAATTATTACACAATTAAATTTAATTGACATTGTTATAAACGACAATTG